TCCATCCATCCATCCATCCACCCACCCATCCATCCATCCATTCATCCACGCAAGCGCATCTGTCTCATCGAGTGACGTACCTGGTTTGAATGTCTAAAGTTTTGGGTTTCGTTTGTTGCCCTTATTGTTGCTTATTTCTCTTGTTTGTCTTAATTTTTTTATCAGTTTGTTTGTGGAATTTCGTCAGGCTTTGCTGACTGCTTGTCCCTATTCACTCTCCTTCGTTTCTTCGCCGGCATGGCCAACGCAGGATGTCTACTGGCTCGATACGTCTACTGCATGGAACTGGTCACCACCAAACACAGGACAGCGGCGGGCTTCCTGTGTAACATATTTGTTAGTCTAGGTTTCACGACTCTTTCTTTGTTAGCTTATCTCATCCGTGATTGGAGATACTTGATGCTTGCTGTAACACTACCCGCCGCTCCGCTGGTCTTTTTCTGGAGGTAGGGATACCAGTTATATGATATATATCAATATATTTAAAAAAATTAAACCTACAAAGTATTGATGATGAAGAAATGTTTGAATCTTGATTATTTCGGAAGCAAGAAGATTTTCCTCTGGCAACAAGTAGTTTATCCCCCCACCGCCAATATAAAACTCAAACATACCTTTCTCTTCAAATTTCTGTCATATCAATATGAATCATTTATTATGGTATATGATCCAAGGTTTATCCCAGAGTCTCCACGCTGGTTGATTGCCAATAACCGCTTCAAAGAAGCCCATGACATTCTACAACATTTTGCGGTGAAGAACGGCGTTCCCTTGGATTACGATCACTTGGGCTACGTGATACGAGAGGCAAAGAGATCCGAGCTCCAGAAGGAAATCCAGAAGAAGCCTGGACTTCTTGACTTGGTGAAGACTACTAAACTGCGTAGAAGAACCATCATTTGTACTTTTAATTGGTAGGTTTGTTGGATAAGAAAACAATGTCAGATTGGCTCTCTGTGTGCTTGCTTGCTTGCTTGCTACTTTTCTTTATTTTGATTGTATTTTATAATTTTTTAGGTTTGTCAATGCTGTTGTATTCTTCGGTATTAACCTGAACGTTAAAAACCTTGGCGGTGATTTGTACCTGAACTTCTTCATCCTGTGCATCATTGAGCTTCCTGGAGCATTAATGTGCTGGTACTTACTTGGACGGTCAGTCATTATTCAGTCAATTTAAAGTATTATGAATATTTCACTCTGGTATTCCCCAAATGCATGCGTTATTTACCGGACAAATGCGAAGACCATAGATCCGTTTTTTCATGTCAAATTAATGAAGCCGCAACAGAGGTGTTGAAAAGTGATTTGCTAATTTTTCGCCTAAAGCACAATTCAACCTTCAACATACCCATATTTAGAATGGATGTTTTCCAATTTCAGACCACGTATGATCCCCTAGAGTTCGTTTCAGTCTTTGTTTAATGGTTGCACATGAGAAGACATATGAATGTGGTTACATTTCAAAAAAAAAATCTGTCTAAAATGGGAAAACATTTTAAGCCGAAGTTGAAAAAGGTCAATTTATACGCCATAATATTATGCCGCCATGGTTACAAAACAATGGTAATTGATGGAAAACTTGCTACCATTTAAAACCGGTGATTTCGTGCGCCCGCGAGCCCAACATTAATGTGTATTAACTACAATCATTGCCATTATTAGTTGACACGCTTGACAAATTTTATTATTTTAGAGGGTACTTCGCAAAACACTACCAAGGACTAAACCCCCCTCCCCCCGTACGATGTTGGGATTCCTGCAAGTTGGCAGAGGGTTAGCGAGTCTGATCAGGGGTAACAACTTTCCGGTTTCAAGCAACAGAAACATTGTATAGGGGGGAGGGGGAGAGCGCGACAGAGGAAAGCCATTTTCAGTGTTAGCCAAAATGTGCCATCGTGCCAAGTATTTTGGCAATGATTGTGGGTCGTCCCCTTGATGATTGTTTACGATATCCCGATTTATTTCAAAATATCTATTTTCTTCAGATTTGGTCGTCGTCTTCCTTATTGTTCGTTTGAAATCATTGGCGGAGTGGCATGCATGCTAGTCCTTGCTTTCCCCACTACTGAAGGTTAGTCACTACTGAAGATGCGAATCAGCCCGTATTGCGTTTATGTTGATCAGGAGAGAGCCGCAATATAAACCTGAATTTCCTCGGGATAGGAGAATCGCGATACAAAACTTATTGCAATTTTAAGTTACCAATAAGGAATYTTATAAAATAACTGTTATGAATGTCGCGTTCTGATTGGTTTGGAGCGCGTGCTTTATCAGAGCATATTGCACGCGCGCGCACTTTCCGTTGCGTCATTCCTAGCTATTATTGTAATTTGTATTTTATAAAAGAAATAAAAAACTTACTTGCTGTGCTGTGTGCAGTCATAAAGCACTTAATTGGGGATTGGCAGAACACTCGAAAAGTGTCCAGAAGCACTCCGCTACGCGTCGTGCTTCACCTAACACTTCCCTCGTGTTCTGCCAACCCCCGCGTGCTTTATGACAGCACACAGCACGCGCGCGCGTTTTCTATTTCTTCATTGGTGGCTCAACATCGCAATACATATAACTTATAAGTATTCTTTGTTCATGGCATCACGGCAATGTTATGAGAAATTACTGGCTTGACCAAAATATTTTTGCTAAGCCCACACTTTTTTTTCCACCAGCTTATCGTCCAGTCATCACTACCTTAGCAATGATTGGTAGATTATGTGTGGGTAACAACTTCATGGCAGTGTATGTTTTCACTGTAGAGCTTTATCCTACAGTTATAAGGTAACATGTCTTAATTTAATTTGTAACATAGGAGTACCTCATAATGATACTCCAGTCTCTGCACTCCTCTTCACCAAACAGCCATGGACTGACTTATTATATCACCATAGTGCTTGTTTCAGTGTTTGATCTTTGAGTTAGCCATGTTCTGACTTAGATCAGCCCAGAGGTTGTTTCAGGGTTCGATCTGTGAGTCAGCTATGCCCTGACTTAGATCAGCCCAGAGGTTGTTTCAGGGTTTGATCTCTGAGTAAGCCATTGCCTGACTTAGATCAGCGCAGAGGTTGTTTCAGTATTTGATCTTTGAGCTAGCCATGTCCTGATTTCGATCAGCCTAGAGGTCGTTTCAGGCGGTTCTATCGGTGAGTTAGCCGTCACCTTGTCGGTCGACAACAACGCTCTCGGTCGTTCCGTACGGTTAAGATCGGAAGAATATTTGCTTAACGACGTCTTCAATATCATTGTGTTTATACATATATTCTGCCGAACCTGTCCCGAAGTTAGCATTGTGGAATGTCCGAGAGCGTTGTTGTCGACCGATATTGAATTAATTATTTCTAGCGGGGTGAGCTCTTTAGGTACACCTCACTTTAAAAAATTTTTTCTCCAAAATTTGGATAGGACGAGCTGTAGAAATTTCACTACCATCTAGATAAAGCTCTGGTCTATTGATGTAGGTGGTTTAAAGAAAAAACTTGGAGCCGTTTTGAAGAAAAAGGCGAAAATGTGATTTTTAGCAAAACTCTCATTTTTGAGGTTTACAACGACAATTAGTAAAAAAACATTCAATGAGTTTTTAAGAATTGATGCTGATTTTTCGTAAGGCTCATCCGCAATACTTGGAAATAGGTATGTGAAAACTCCAAGGCAATCCATTCAATGGTAATGTTTCTAAAGCGCGATGTTTCATATGCTTGAAATTTTGGATCGAATTTTCAAGCGGCGTCATAACTTTTTTTCTGCCCAAGACTTTCCATCCAAATTTATACACAGGCTGCAATGGTACTAGGTGATAAGATTCTGAAAATTTCAGAAAAATCGTACCTGGGAAAAAAATTAAAATAAAATATACTGTTAGAATCCAGGATAATCCAAGCACATTATATGAAAAATACAGATAAATTGACGCAATAGTTTTGCGAAGGGAGCGAGAACAAAATTGTCCAAAATTCGCCCTGAATTAGTTTGGTTCCACCTTAAATCAGGGCAGAGCTAGACCGCCGTTTCAGTATTCGATTTGTGAGTTAGCTACCGATAATTCTACCTATCAGCGTGCGCCACCGATTTTTCAGCGGTCGATAGTTATCTGTAGGCAGTTATCTGCAAAAACGAGCCTGCATAGGACAGCGGATGGCGGTTATCTGTAGTTTAGGATTTTTACTTATGGTTTTTTCAACTGTTTTAAAATAAAGTTTATTATAAAGTTCCTATCTTCGTATTATTATGAACAGTTAATCTATTTGAACAGTGTTTAATAAAAACAAATATTGAATTCAGCTTTGATGATATCCAGAATGATCAATGTCATGCGCGACAACTATCAATGGCCTCAGCCTACGGCCCTTCGACCAATAACACTTGCCTCGACATTGATAATTAAGAATATCATCAAAACCTCATCCAATAATCGTTTAATAACGACTGAATTAATAACAGTGGATGCCATTGGTTGATTTTTTTTTTTTTTTTTTTTTTGCATTATGCAAGATGCGGCTTAGTGTATTGACGGTTTGCCCTTAATCAACAGAAATGTTGGTCTTGGTGTTGCATCAATGATGGCTCGAGCTGGAGGAATCTTGGCTCCATATTTTGTCTTACTTGTAAGTATTTATTATCAAACTTCAAGAATTGCCGAACCGAACCAGAAAAAGGGCTGCAATTTGATGATAAAACCACCCACCCACCCACCCTGGAGAAAAACCCTCGAAGCAAAGGCCGAGGAAAGGGACAAGAAGCAGCACTACTCACTTACGACATTGAGTCCAGGAATCGATCAAACACGGGTCTCTCAACAAGGCGATTAGACTGCGTTCAGCCGGTTTAAAAAACCGGCTGAACGCAAGCTAGTCCCCGTGTTGATAGACGAGCAACGCCACTCGTGCTTCCTTTCAATAGAGAGTTTTAGATTTACGTTCACGGCAAACGTGAAACGTCAGTTGCCAGTAAGAAATTCTTTTAAATTACTGAAAAAGAATCGCAAAAAATTCCAAGTAGTAGAAAAACAAAAGAGTATTTGCGCTTGGTGAGAAGGTTTTTAAAAGGTAAAGTAAAATAAAGGAAAACTATGAAAACGGGGCAGGGTTTCCAGCGTTTTGTCTTTCATTTGTCAAACTTACGACTGACAAAGTTAGTAATTCCTTGATTGACATTTTTTGATTGACGTAAGCCAATTACATAGACGACTAGATATTGTTGTCATGAAAACACGAGCAACCGTTAATGCAAATGTTTTGTTGTCGATTCCAGGCCGATCTACCGCAAATCGATCGAACTTTGCCACTGGTCATCTTTGGGGTCTTGGGTATAGCTGCAGGATTGGTTGCATTGTGGTTACCAGAAACACTCTTCAGTCCTATGCCGCAAACACTAGAGCAAGTAGAAACATGGCCAGAGGATTATAAGATATATTGCTGCCAAAGCCTTCAACAGCGTATGAAGCACTCAAATAATGACCAGGATGGGGAAGCTGAATTATCGATGCTGCATGATGCATAGGATGAAGGATAAATACCGAAAAAGCGTAGAAGCCTCTTTATATCATTTTTTCATATCAACCTCAAGTTCGTGTGTCGCTTTCTTTCTACGAACATATATATATACGTGAATAGGCCATTCTCAATAGCACTATGCTTTAGGAGCAGGCGTAGCTCAGTTGGTTAGTGCGCGACCTTCAGAGCTTGAGGTCCACGGTTCGATCCTCAGGATTCTCCACGTCTGTTTCGACTTCTCTCTAATCAGTGTAGCTTCAGCTTTAAATACTCTTAAAACAGAGCACTGATGGAGAGAGGGGGTAAAGTGCGCACCGTCGGCTTCCATTGATAGCAGTTGAATTTCAACTGAAGGAAGTACCGATGTTAAATATAGGTGCTTTACCTTTTAACGATATCGTCGTCCAATCTTTAAATAACATTTCATAGGCATGTACCTGTGCCATTTGCTTTTTGTTGTAACGTAGTTTGATTGACGTCCACTAATCTCTATTTCGTCGCGACTGTAAATTCGATTCTGCGCGTACCGTTGAGAACGCTATTTAGCTAGTGGGGTGGCTTAAAGACAATTTCTGGCCATTACAGACTGGAAGAATACATGAATATAGAAAGGGTACCACGATATCTTGTGTCAGGAGGATATTTGCTGAATGGTAATAGGTTGGGCATGCTATGGACAATATATATACACCTATCTTATATTTTGTAAACAACATCCCATCCCTACCCGTCCAAAATCAATAAACCCACCCCCTCCGGCCTCCTGATATGAAAATGCGCTAAAACCACCTTTTAAATTTGTTTCAAGTGACATATAAGGAAACCCGTGCGCCAATTTAGTTGGTGCTTTCTTACGAATTGTAAGAATGATTATTATAAAATAGCTTTAATAAATGCCAAACCCCCGCGTGCTTTGTAACTGCACACAGCCCGCGCACCCGTTTTCTATTTCTTCAATATTTCTATTTATTGAATTTCATACAACCTGCTTTTGTATCATTTATATCATTTGTAAAAACATTCATATACAAAACCATAAAATTATTGATTTCTTTATTTCGATCATTTATATCATTTATTGACTGACTAATTAACTGAGTATACAAATTTTATTTTATTTTTTAAACAGAACAATTAAATGCAAAATTGAGTCAAAAAGCGGTTTTCAACTAGAAATTAAATCCCCCTTCATTTCCCCACTCGTGGTCGTTTGACTTCCGTTTGTGATATGATCGGTCAAATGCAATGTTTAGTACAATTCCATTGCACTGTGAAACTGCCTGGTTGAAACAACCAAAAAAAAAGATTATAAAAAAGTGAGTGGTTATTACAACCAATTTGTTATATTGGTTGATAAAATGGTGAATATCAAGTTATGRTCGTTATTACCAGATTCATTTTGGTTAAAACGACCTCACATTTGGTTGATAAAATGACCAATATCAAGATGGTCGTTATTATCAGATTCATTTTGGTTAAAACGACCTCACATTTGGTTGATAAAATGAACCATATCAAGATGGTCGTTATTACCAGATTCATTTTGGTTAAAACGACCTCACATTTGGTTGATAAAATGACCAATATCAAGATGGTCGTTATAACCAGATTCATTTTGGTTAAAACGACCTCACATTTGGTTGATAAAATGACCAATATCAAGATGGTCGTTATTGCCAGATTCATTTTGGTTAAAACGACCTCACATTTGGTTGATAAAATGACCAATATCAAGATGGTCGTTATTACCAGATTCATTTTGGTTAAAACGACCCTCACATTTGGTTGATAAAATGACCAATATCAAGATGGTCGTTATTACCAGACTTATTTTAGTTAAAACAACCAACATACTTATAACCAATTGAAACAGCCATTTCAACCAATTTCTTATTGATAAAATAACCAATAAGGTTATTGATATTGCAACCAAGCAAAACGGACGCTCTAACCAACTGAGCTACAAGACCTCTTGTTGGTGAGCGCGGCCTAGATGGTATTTAAGCCTAATCACTTAGGACGAGCGCGCGTTGCGCTGTTCGATTACCTCTCGAAGTAGAATTTAATTGTGAAAAGGCCGAATTAGACGGTACGATTTTCGCCTCCAACCATCGCATGCAACCTGCTCACGTCATACTTACGACATGACTTAGGTCAGATCCACACGCCTACCACATTTTACCTACAACTCCCTACGTGTCTTGCATCTTTTTTGAACTGTAATCGGCGTGTTCACAGTTGAATAAAACACTCCCTTTACTCCAGAGGCCGGTTAAAAGATCAACTTCTTCGTTAGTAAAATTGACTTTATCTTTTTTGTCTTCATCTCTCTCGGTGGGCTTGTTTTTGTTGGCAAAATCGGTGTTGTTGTTGTTGTTGTTGTTGTTGTTGTTTTGTCCGAAATTTTTATCGCCCCACGGACTCCCCCACAAATTTCCCCACAGACTCCCTCACGGGAGGGTATTTTCAGCAAATTTCGCTACGACTATCGCAGGATTTTAAGTCACTTTTTAAAACTCTACAACTATTTTGTAGTCGCACACAACAGACTTGAGTGAGTTGAAGGACAGAATTACACGACATAACTCATGTCGTAAGTATAACGTGAGCAGGTTGCATGCGATAGTTGTAGGCGAAAATCGTACCGTCTCAATTCGGCCTAAAGATAGTTTTTTTTTTCCTTTTCTGGAACGACCAAGTAAAAAGATAAATACTCCCACGATTACAAATTACCGTAAATCCTCTATTAAGCCCCCCGGGGGGCTAATTTATTTCAGGCACGGTTTGAGGGAGGGCTTATTGGAGAGAGGGGGCTTAATTGAGAGGGGGAGCTTATTGATTTAGTCGAAACGCAGTATGTAATATGATTGTAACTCAAGATTAAATGGAAGCATT